GCACCACGCGGTCCAACACTACGGGCAAGTGACGTCACTGCGACACTTCATTCACAAAATTAACCCGCAAAACGCACAACTTAACACGTAGCACAAAAACAAACCAAAAACAGCCGGACGAGCCCCCATTTGTCATAACCTGGCTCAAAGATTATGACAAAAGAGAGGGAAGCAGGGATTGAATCAAAATATAACAGATTTATTTAACAAACAAAACAATAATTGAACACAAATGCCAGCAGAAAGCAACATAAAAGGGTGATGCGAGTCAGAGGCAAACTCCCCACACACACACACCAACCAACAGGGGAAAGGTAAGAAGCTTTTATAATGAGGAAGACTCCGGGCCTAGGTGAAAACACAAAATTGAACAAAACCACACAGAGGGCAGGTATGCAGGCCGTCACACTTCAAATCTGCTTTTTGATTTTGAAGGAGATTAAAAAAAAACAATGTGTTATATATGGACAACTGAAAGGTGTGGTGTGTTATGTAAGTCTCATACAAAGCCCACAGATCTCTCCTCCTCACAGTTAATATCATTAGATAATTGAACCTCTTGTTTTAATGTGCTCTGAGACGAGCCCTTATATGGGTTAGATGTAATGATGGTCAATAAGTGCCTATAAAATATAATTCCCCTTCTAGAGAACTCGTGCTATATCCTCTAGCACAGTGGTTCTCAAACCTGTCCTGGAGTACCCCTAGCCCTGCACATTTGGTATGTCTCCCTCATCTATCACACCTGATTCAACTCATCAGCTCATTAGTGGAGACTGCATGACCTGAAATTGGGTGTGTCAGATATAGGGAGACATACAAAATGTGCAGTGCTGGGGGTACTTCATAGAGAGATTTGAGAACCACTGCTCTAGCGGACACTATGGGGAATGCTGCCAGCATGACCGGTGTCTGAAGCACATGTGCAAAAACTCCAATATTATTGGTCCACGTGGCCTGTGACATCACAGGCAGGTGCCCAGAAGTATAAAAGGGCACCTGTTGAATACGTCACCAACTTTTGTTGTCTTCAGGAGCAGTCTGTCTGATAGCAGTGTGTACTATGTCTCTGAAACCTGGCGAGCATTTCAAAAAGTGCCTACCTCCTTGTCAGAGGTTTTTGAAACCTGAGGACACACATGACTTGTGCGTAATGTGTCTGGGTAAGGAGCACGCACGTCTGCTGCTCGAGGGCTACGAATGTGCACATTGTGAGAATTTCACTATGCAGAAGCGCCGATCATGTTTGTCTCTCTTCTCGAGTGAAGAGGGGCAAGCGTCTGTGCCTCGTGGGTCGGGTCCCACTGCTGCCGAGGCACGATGGAAACTCATGGGGATCGCAGGTCGAGCGCGGCTCGGGATCCAGACACTCTTTCTTTAGAGTCATCTGATCCCGATAGCACGCTGCTGGGCTCTTCTAGTCAGAATGATGATGAAGAGATTGATGTGGTTGGTGACGACAATGAAAGTGTTTCAGTCATTCCCCCTTCTGGTAGCCCTTTTCTAGGTACATAGCTATCTGAGGATAGCTATGTGCTAGCTCAATGACTTTATGTCCTAGGGGACTTTAAGTAGCGGTCTCCTTGAGCCCTTGCCTAAACTGTGCTATCTCCCCTGCTAGGGTTGTAAGCAGGTAGCCCACTTTATGTTGTTTTAGGCAGTTTTTGAAGTAAGGTCTTACCTGGCTATCCAAGGCTAGCTGTATATGGTTTATCTTGGTCTACGAGCCTTTCATGAGACCCTTAGGATATAGCTATCTGAGGATAGCTGTATTCTAGCTCAGCAACAACTCCCCTTACTCGGGCTATAAGTAGTGATCACTTTGAGCTCTTATCTAGAGGTTTTTCAGTTTGCCTCTTCAGTGGTCTTGTGTATTCAGGCTAGTTTTGCTCACATAGCATAGCTATCTGAACATAGCTGTTTTCTTACTTTGGGTTGGGGTGTTCCCCTTTATCAAATCGGGTTCTTCATTTCCCAAGTTATTTGAGCGGCCCAGGGCATCAGTGGCTTTTCCCCTTTCTGAGGAAAGGGTTAGGTATGTGTCTTTCACCTCCTTGGTCTCTCACTGGGTGGACAGGCATGCGCCTCAGCATGGCATAGTTGGCATTTCATTCCCCATAGTGTCCACTAGAGCAGCGGTTCTCAATTTTAGTCCTCGCGTACCCCCGCTCTGCATGTTTAGCATGTCTCTCTTTGTTAACACACCTGATTCAGATCATCATCTCGTTAGAAGTGAGCTCTGTGCATGAACTGTGTTCCGATTGACATGGTCCATACACAGTGTCCATTGCTCCCTACTCCCTAAGCAGGGGAAATCCATTGAAGTTTACTTCACTTCGGAATATTCATTTACAGATTTGCGCTGCGCCGCTGCCTGCAGCGTCTTCACACACATACGAA